GACAGACCCCCGCCGCGAACCGCATCAAAATCCTGCTCAACTCGTCCGCGAAGCTCAGCGTCCACGACGCCATGGCCGATCGCGCAGAGGTCGACGGCTTGCTCGGCCTCGCCTTTTTGAGCAACCGTAGGTATCGCCAGGCCGCGGAGCTCCTGCAGCGCTCGTCGGAGCTGATTGTTAAGGTTGCTGAGAAGGAGGCCAAGGTTGGAGGCGCTACTACAGACGCTCTCACTTGGGCTGCCGAGCTCAATCTGGTCTCGGCTCACGCTTATTTTGAACACATGTCCATGTCTAACGATGGCATCATCCGTCTGGTGCAGGTTGCCGCGTTTGCAAAGCCAGACTTGCCAGTACATAGAAGCAGCTCACCGCGCGATTCGCGCGATTTAACTGCCGAGTTTCTCGACCTTCGCACCGAGCTGCTCAGCATGCTGGAGGGCTTGCTGACGGCCCTCGTCAGGTTTTTGTCCGAGTCGAAGAGCCCGGCTGTCAAGATGGCTTCCGCAAAGATGATCGAGTTTGTCAGCGAGCAGCTCGGGTGCGCTATAGCTAGGCATATGTCGGCTATTCTTAACCAGGTCCTTCGCTCGTATCCTACCTGCGTCACGTTTGGAGCGAGGGAGCGTGCGGCCGCGGCTTCTTTTTCCTACGACTCTATGGAAGATTGCTTCGAGCGACTTATCGATATATGCTGCCGCTTGTTCCCTCTGACGGAGCATAGCGTTCTGCAAAACCTTTTCGATAACACTTTGATCCCCATTTTCCTGGATGGATTTCACGAGTCAGAGTACTTGTGTTACGATGTCGACGCAGAAGAGGCAGCTGACGAGCTCATGACCACGGCGGTTGCGCAATCCCTACGGGTCATCTATTTGGTCTTGAATATTTTAGGGTCCGACGCGCGCGTTCCGATGTCTCTCAACACGCGGATATTGAATATGTTAGTGGTGGAGAATGGCAACCCGCGCACCCCGCTTCTACTGCGACGTACTGCGCTGCATACTTGGGATGCGATATCAAAGTCGTTGCGGCAGTCTGCGCTGGGAAACACAGTCAAGGCCTTTGTAGATCATATCAAGGCGTTGCGCGACTACATTCCCAAACTCCTGGCAGACTTTCCGAGGCCGGACTTTGAGTATGCGGCATCAGAAGATGATGCTGAAGGAGAGGGGGATGAGGAAAACGGGGTTGTGCGAGAGGCCTCAGCCGTGGAGGTGGTCAAGGAGGAATATCTAGTGCCTGAGAATAGCAAAGTGCTGACTGAATTGATGAAGAAGCGAAAGCGACGAGTTGAAATCGTCGACCGCCACACTTTGGGCAGATTGCTCACTTTGATATATGAAATATGCAGCGCGCTCATGACAAGCGATGAAGAAGAAGAGCGCTATTTGGACGTCACAATCTCACTTCAGCAAACACTGGCGACAGCCATTGCGGACCTATTATTCAGCAGCCTGATTGACGTGAGCTTTCATGAGGCGGCCGCCAGTGGCAATGGCCCGCAGGATAGCAACAACTTGTACGAGTTTGGGGATATCAATACACAGCTGAAGGTGGTCGGAGAGGTTCTGGAGGAGCTTTTCGAGAGCTACTGGGCCGCGGTCAGCTTGCTACCCACTTCGGTTGCTGAAGACGTCGTGAAATCGGCGCCCATTCGTGCGGTGCTTGGATGGTGCGCAAGTCGAATGGTTCATTCTGCAGCGCCAAAGGGTATGCTCAAATTGCTTTGCGTGGCAGTGCGTGGGTTGCAACATGAGTCGAATAGGGCGATGTACAAACTGCCTGCTGTTCCCCCATCGCCACATGAAGTCACATTCATAGCCCTTCATCGCGCACACATGACCTGGTTTCCGCAATCCGCATACGAAGAGGCTTTCGATTTGATGGATATTCTCAACGAATCTGTCGCTGAAGACCTGATGGCAAAAGACCTGGCCCAATTGATTCAGGGTCTCGGTGACCAAGCAGAAAAGTTCCAAGCTCGCACAGAGACATCATTGGAGCTCATGGCATCCATTGTCTCATCTAGCGTTCCCAAGCGTCCCGACTTAGCGATGAGCTCCTTGCGCGCCTTGGTGGACCCGTCTCTAGGAAAGCAAAGAATAGCCAACGGGTTCCCCAGATCTAACAGAGCAAACACGGGGTCTTTTGGCAGAAGAATTCAACTCACGTCATCTACGCCAAAGGCCGACCCCATGTCGAATTCCTTGTACATTCATGTCGTTCTTGCGTCTTGCTTTGATGAATTTGATTCTCTCGGGCGAGCAGCCAGGCGACGAGGTGGCCCGAGTTACATGGGAGAGAAAATTGATGCGTTTGTTGAGCACGTTGCGCTCACGGTGAGGTGCTTGCATGCCTGTGCGCGTGCTCGGACACACCGAGAATACATCGGAGCTGTGCTTGGCGATATTTTTGGAACCTGCTTAGCTATGCAAGATCATGGGGATGGTCGTGTGCGTCTTGCGGGCTTTGAGATTTTTGCGGCCTCCTTGGATGTATTGTTTTTGGCTCAAAAGGCTATGGTTCTTGTTCCCGCACCACCCAACAACTCTGCTAGCGAAGCCAGTATACTTGGAGCTGCGTCGGGGGCACAAGGCGCTGCGGCAATCGGTGAGAATTCTAATGGTGTTATGGAGCTTTCCTCTTGTGGTCCCGAGAAGGAAGTGACTCCGGTACTCTCTCGCACACCATCTGAGGGATATGACTCAAATGGTATTTTGCAGCCCACAGTTACGAGACGCGACACGGAAAAAGAGGATGGAAGGGAAGCAAACGATAGCGAAGATTTGGACACTACCCGGGAAAGAAAGATGCAACAAATATTCGCCGATGGCGGTTCTTGTGCGTTTCAGAGTGAAGATCTACCGTCCTCTCAACTAGCATTTGAGGAGAGGGGTTGGCAGATGTTGTGTTCCTTTGTTAATTCGAGCCTAGGTATCGCCAAATATGTTGATTTCGTTGTTCAGCGCGCCTGTCTGGAGTATTTGAAGGGCTGCATGCTCAATGCTTTACGCGGACGATCAACTGGCGCAAGCGTGATTGGCTTTGAGCACATAGGACAAATGTGGGATGCTGTTAATCGCCTTATCGGATCCCCCTGGCGAACGCTCAATGCGTTAGCTCTCTGGGTTATCATTGCGATTCTTAATGTTGCTATCTATTCTACGACCATGGCAAGAGGAAGGGGGGCCGCACGCCAGAGGGGGGCGCAGCTGAATGAATTTCTTATTGGTCAAGTTTTTCCGCGGGCTGAGGCATTGTTGAAGAGCGGGATTCGCGAAACAAGGGTTTGGGGCATGCGTCTTTTGGAAGCATATCTGAGAGCAAGAGACTTAAACTCAAATGTTGCACAGAACGTCCCGAATCTACCAGGTCGTGTTTTGCGGTGCCTGGACAACTTAAAACATGACTGGGATGAGGACGTTCGTCAGCGGAGCCAGTCCCTTCTCGAGATACATTTCAGTTCGAACACCAAGAAATCCAATAATTCATTCACGCAGCAAGCCTCACACTTCATGTCCATGAAGAGGTATCAGAACGACGATTCATATGAGAACGCCAATTCAACCGGCCTTGAATTGTGGTTTCCACCACTTCCAAAGCAGATGCCCGCTTCACAAATGGATGTTTACTGCCGAACTCTAGAAGCATTTGCGAATGCTGAGATCGAAGGGGGAGAGGAGTACGATCTTATAGGATCTCTAGAGGAAAAAGAAGAAACAGAAGATGTGTACGAGGGAGAGTATGAGGACGAAGAGGACGGGTATGAATACGGTGAAGCGGAATCTGATGAAAGCGAAGAAGTGGAAGTCAATCCCGAACAGCAAGGGGAAGAGGATGTCACAGAGAGGGATGATGACTCTCAACTCGTTGAACAAGGCGACAGTGAGCCTGGTCCTCCTCTCCAAGAGGGCATATCTAGCAGTTTTGGATCCGATGGTTTTGGAGGCAGCGAAGGCAACGCAGACGAAGATTTAGATGGGTCAGACGAGCCGCTGCAAAATGCTGAATCAGCTCCTGGAATAAATCAATCAGCTAACCCTATCCTCGACATGGGAGATGCCCAGGAATGCAGCAAGGGCGAGCACCAAGAAGGCGAGGATGTTGAGGATGAAGACGATGTTGATGATCATGAGTTTTCAGCATTGGAGAGCCAAAGTCCTGCATCCTCCGCTGAACCGCCAGCTCTGGGTCAAGGGGATGATGACTTTGGTCCAGATGTCGTGCAACTAAAGGAAGGATGCGTCGAAGATGAGGACGGTGAAGAAGACGATGAAGTAGTTGATGTCACTGATGAAGAAGATGTGCTGGTTGATCTCGATACTGTGCAGTCTCCAGCAAGAAGAAATAGCTTTGCCTCCGACGCTCCGAAGCGCCACAGAAGTCGACCGAATCTTCCTCGACTGGGTTTGCCAGGGTCTAACCTGAACCCCGACTTGGACGAGGGTGTCCAGGTGCTCCGTAGAAAAGGTTCGTTCACGAGTCGTCCTTCTGCAGTCCTGTCGCTTGGGGAAGGGGACGCTCCGAAGCTTGCCCGTAGGAGGTCTCATGACCTTTCCGTGATGAATGCCGCTGGGGAACCTTACGCTCTGGATGATGAAACAGTGTCACCCCGCAGCACTGGCTCTCCCAGATCGGCTGGCCGCCGAGGCAATCGTTCTTCTGCAGCGCTGTTACGAGCAGCCGAAAGATCTGCTCTCTCGTCCCGAGCTACCGACGGAGGGCAGTACCGCCAGCTGGATAGCGGAGATTCAGATGGAAAAGAAAAAGAAGCTCGCTCTGAGAAGGAACCGGGTGATTTCGGACTTGTAGGGACACCGCGCATCGTACGGAGAAGATCACTGAAGACGCTGGCTATCGGACCTGATGAGTATGCGAAGCAAAGTGGGTCTGAGCATGGTCGAATGGGCAAAGATCAAGAAAAGGATGCTGCTGTAGGGAGCGCATTTCTCGGGCTGTCTCCAAAAGGTAATCGCATGCCAAGAGGAGTCAAGCTTGACGAGGACATTGATGAGGCGACAGATTCTCGGCGTCCACCAAGTCAGAGCCCTACCACAGACGGTGGGCGGGGCAAAGCGGGGGAAAGCGGGCAGAAGGGGTGGAGAGGAAATCGCCGGAGTCTGCCCAGGGCCCCTGCGTTTGTCAAGGGAGGTGGCCTGCAGCGACGGATGTCAGGAGGGCTATCTGGGCCGGATTCGAGACCAAGTGATAGTAGCGGGTCTGATGGTCCTGCCTCTGGGGGATCTGGAAGCTTGTCCAGCCCCTCACTGTCTGGCGGCAGTCGCAACAAACCGCTACGGCTGAGGGGGAACGCTAACAGGCCGCCAAGGCCCGTTGGTTTGTCTTTGGACCTTAACTCGGCGGAGCGGAGAGCTGATCGGTCTCACAGGTTTTCGAAGCGAGAGCCTGCGAAGCATGCTCGCGGAGATGATGACGACGGGTTTGACGCTGACCTTTTGGGAGATTTGGATCCTAGCCTGGAACTAGAAATGGATGATGAGTTTGCTAATCCTATGCGTGTTGGGACTCCAACGGCAGAAGCACTGAAAGGGCGTAACTCATTGGCTGATGATGCACCTACAAGCGGCTCTAGGAGGCACGGTTCGAACCGCAGCCTTCTCAATTCTTTGCACTACAAGGGTTTATTGGACCAAATATCTCCCACACAAGTCGAAGATGAGCCCGTGAGCGGAGGGTGGAGCGAGCCGATCAGCAAAGGTTCAGGTAAGAGTGGACTAGTGTCATCACGGAGAGAGTTCTGGGCTGCGGCTGACAAGAAGGATGACTCATCCCGTGATGAACCCACAAGCTCGTGATTCCATGACCCTGTGTGGGAGCGTGCAAGTGGTTTGTCGTCTACGAGCGCGATGTGGCAGAGACCGATGTAGAGGGTGTAGTACTAACCACAAAGACAGCAATAACTTGTAAACAAGCAATCGGTGAAGTAGTTAGTGAACGGATTACGAGTCGAGAATGATTTGGAGTGCCCTATCACCAGAAGTGTAGAGCGCTGTTTGTACAGTTTACCGTGGTCCTTGTCGAAGCGGCTTGAAGCGCGCTTGTCGCAACGGAGACTCGTCAAGGAAATGCACGAGTGCCTCATACCCGTTTACCCGGTGAAAGTTTTTCCCGCGGTATTTGGAAAGATTTGAAACCCACACAGAATTGCTGGAATTCTGTAAAATTCTTCTCTCCCCCACCCCAATAGATCCCCGACGTAAGCGAGGCTTGCCCCGTCCCCAACCGCCCTCATCTTGCATCGTAAGCGTCGGAAAGCGGACCGAACATTTCTCCCGCGGTCTCGGCGACGAGCGCTTGCATCTCGCACAACATGCCAGGGGCACAGCAGGAAAGCCTCGTCATTGAGAATGTGTCCAGACTGGATTACGACGCGCTCCGCCAAGCGATTCATGACGCAACCGTCGGCAAGTTCGACACCCCCGTGCAGCATCTTGCCATCTCTGAAATCCGCGCTTGCCGTTCCCTTGTTTCTGCCCCACTGAGTCTACATGCAGAGCGACCGCCAAAGCCGGAAGATCGAAACCGCATCGCAGGCTTGGCAGAGGTCACCATCACCATCGCCCCGGATCGCTTTGCAACGCCAACATCTAACAGGGGCTCCACTATTCGCCTCGGCGCCGACTTGGTCTCCGTATCCATTGCGCTGTCGGATGAGCTCCAGATTAATGAGCTTGACGCCGGCGTCCTGCTGTACGATGCCCGATCGCAAGCCACCCACAGGGCCGACCACGATGTCGTCGCTGCTGCCAAGGAACTATTCTATCTACGAAGAAGGGAGTCCGTCTTGTATTTGCAAGAAGTTGTACGCGCTGGGCTCATGGCCACACCGGACTCGGCGGAACAAGATGATGACAACATTGTCTCAGCGTTAACGAGGGAGCGTGACATACTCGTCGTGGAGCACAACGTTATTACAAACATACTCAAGCGATTATCTAAGGGATTCGAGCCAGCTAACATTCAGAATGGTCAGCGAAGGAATCGAATGGCACTGCAAACAGGCGAGGCTGCTCTTCTGGCCGAGACCTTATTCTTGCTTGGATATACAGTTCAGTTGTCCAGTGCAGAGGCAACCGGCGTGCGCTCCCTTTTAGATCAAGTGGACGCAATATTTGAAAGGATGTACGAAGCCGAAAAAGAGTCGGCCAAGGCCCACAAACCCGTGTCCCAGTTTGTTGTAGGCAGTCCCACCCCAGAGGAAAGCCCAAAGAAGTATCGTGCGAATGACTTGGATATCATGTCTCCTCGGTTGGTAGAAGTGGAAAGCGTTCGAAATTTGCTGCTTTTGGCATGGACTTGTGCCCTTGATCGCTCGAGATACCACGACATTTATGATCCCCGGACAGGAGTCCAAGGTGTCAATGCTCTGTTGAAGGACTTGTCATTTATTCCGCAAACGTGCAAAATTCCGAAGCTCGAAGACAAGGAGGGGGAGGACATGGTCGCAAATCTCTCAAGTGCTAGAGCAGCAGCTGAGCTATGCGGGTCTGTATTTAGATTAGCTGTGGCCGTCCCCGACGAGGACGAGGCGCTGTGGACTTCGTTACGTGTGAGTGCCTATGGTGGAGCTCTTTCTTTCCTGTCGCACGAGCTCGCACCGTGGATCGGAGTAAGGGCAGGATCGTTGAGCCCTGACGCTGATCTCTATTCAGATGTCCTCGAAGATTTGGCGCTAGATATCGCCGAGGCGCCTCAACTTGTGGCCTCTTTGATCAATTTCACCCAGAATGCAGTGATTTCGGCCGCTACAGAAACCGCGTACGCTTCTGTAGACGACCGAAGCATCTCGAGCCCAACCGCGAATAGGAATTCTGACGGCCCATTCGCTCATCAAACCGATCTCGCGGGGAGCACCAGTGCCTTTCGCAGGGCGAGCTTCGGACGGCCTCCCTCAGGTCTTGGAACAGGAAGCAAGCCGCCAAGACCGCCTAGTCGCAATATGAGGCCTCCCTCAATGCCTTTGAGCGGTGGGCGTCTAAATTCGCCACCCCCAACCTTCTCGATGGATGGGTTGGTGGTGCCTTCAAATGCGAACGACGCTGCCAAACCGGATGTCGGAGCCAAAGAAAACTTGGTAGCGTCCCTTGCGCATTTTGTTGCAGAAGCAATATCACTTGCGCCATCAAAACTAAACACAGACTCGATCGCCGGTGGATCGCGATACTGGTCCGGCATAGCGGCATCAAGTGCAGGGTTGATGCACCAAATTGGGGATGCAGTCATAGACCTATGGGATGCGTCCATGAGAAACCCGTACGCACCTGGAGGTGTTGGTGAAGCATTTCGACATGCTCTGGATAGCTTTCTTCACCTGCTGGCTTGTACTGCTCGAAAGGAGGGTTCGCCTTCTCATGCTGCTGCAGCACTCCGATTTCTTCGAGACTCGGGGCAATCTGCAGTCTCTCTTGAACGAGGCTTCGATGCCATGACGTATTTCCACAACGAACTCAACTCTCCCTCATTGTCACGTGACCTGAAGATTGACGATGCCGACGTGGAAACCCTTCACGGAATGATACAAGTGATCGCCAATGCCGCTGAAACACTTCGTCCCCATGGTGGAGTCGTGCATCTGTTGGGGGATTCTGGAAAGGATTTGGCACAACAGATGGCCACTCTTGCGATTGATGATATCCCGCCCTCGCTAAAGGCGACTCTGTTGAAGGCACTTTCCGGGTTAGACAATCGCCGAGCAAATTCGTATTTCTTAGAAACTGTTGCTAATGACAAGGCAAGCCTTCTTCGTCGTTTTCTGAGGGAAACAGAAGCTCAAACAGGAGCTTATGACATGACGATACAGATTTTGAACATGACCGCTGAATGTGTTCAATGGAGCGACGATGAGTTTCCGGATATTGCCGTAGAATCTATCACGCGATGGTTTGCAATTGAGGAGGTTCTGACGTTTTGGAGCAGGCGAAAATATTGCTTTGAGGCACATCGATGGCGTCTTGTGCGTGCCGCAGCCAGTCTCATATTTGACGTGATTCACAGAAACCCTACGAGTGAATGCTCATTTCGGATTCTCGCTGGGCTACTGACCTCTGCTCCGGGCACGGGAGCGGCGTCCTACGCGCTCAAAGCTCTTCTATACACTTCTGCTCTAATGCGTGCAGGTGATGAGAAGAAGGGACCTTTGGAATTCTTGCGTTTTAGCGAAAGGCAGCAGAGCCTCTATCATGTCACTGGTCGGGATTCATTGATTCATGCAGCCGAGCACGGCCTTGGCGAGGCTTACCGCGAGATGCAGATGGCTGCTCAAACTGCAGCACGGATGATCTCATTAGTCCTTTCAGTTCCCCCCGGTCGAATCTCAGTCCCAGGCAGTGTCGTTGCACCAGCATCAGAACTTCTCCTCAGCGAAGTGAAGGCAATCTCTTGTGCAACATCATTGGTATTTGCGATAGACGGATTTGTGCCCTCTATTGCCAAGGCCGGGTTTGCACCCTCAGTTTGTGCAGCAATTCTGGGTATGCTTGCAAAGGCAGCCCAAGAGTCATCCCATATTGCCGGAATTCTAGCAAGAGATGCTCCTGGGAGTCCAGGTTCAGCTGCTCAATTCAGAACTTCACTGGCAAACATAATTGCTCGTTCACCTACTGACGCATCAGAAATCGATCACATGGGTGAAGCTCAAGGTGACGAAGAAGAAATATCCAGACCTCACCAAGACGCGCCTATAATGCATTCGGCGCTACGGATTGTAGAAGCCAGTCTAGGAATGGACGGGGGTGGCGCGCCGGGCCTATTTCTACTGGGTTTGCGACTTGACTCTTCGGGTTTGTTTTCATCAGCGGAATACGGGGTTCTTGGGGCTCTTGTCGAACTGGTAGCAGGAGCGCATGATGCAAACGGTCGAGTAGATGATAAGTCAAGGTCCACGGCAGCAACTTTCCTAGAGCGATTGGCCGCGAACACAGTTCGGAGAACCTCGCTGGCAGTTTTGGAGCACCTTCGGTTGATTGCTCAACCGTATGATTCAAACGTTCGTGGCGGGGGCTTTGCTGATGAAATGTTGTTCCGTGTTCTTGAGGCTGCCGGGACGTACGAATCGGCAGGTGCGGCGAGCAAAGTGGACTGGCCAGCACTCGGAGAGTTGCTCACAGCATGCTTGAGTTTGGGAGCTCTTCAAGTAAGGCTCTTTCAAAAGTATGAGGTTGAAACGTGTATCTCTCGGGCAGGCATGATGCGCGATGCGATCGAAAATGGAAGCGTGAGTGATGTTGCCCTTCTTCCTTCACCAATCGATCTTTTGAATCTTTTGGCATTAATAGGTGGATCAGGTGAAATGCAAGTTGCGGTTGAAGGGCTGCGAACGTGGTGCCATCTTCTGATAACAAGGCTCGGAGTACATCCACCAAACAGCGGATACTCGTCTGTACCCGTTCTCTTTGAGCTGACGCATGTGTTACTGGGAGCTTTGTCAGGAACTGAAAGCGGTAGTGACCTGGTGGCACTGATAAAGAAGGATGGAGGAGAGATGGCAGCGTCAATTAGCTTGCTATGCATATCTCGCATGCGTGACTGTGACAATCCTCATGAGCCAGGATCCGAAGAATATATAGGGGATGTGCAGTGCACGTCGCTGCTGACTTGCGTGGTTCGGGCTCTTTCTGGAGTGGTAGGAATTGGGACGAACGCATCTCGTGCTCGGACGTCATTGTATGCAGCGCTTTTGGTGTGTGCGTCGTTGGCCAAAACACGAGTGTCCGATGATGCAATCGGGAGAGCATTTGGTGGTCGGTATGGTCCCCGTCAGACAAGCGGGACTGAAGCAGTTATCGCTGCTGCATGTGCCGACGCGGAATCTGGACCAACGGCGGCATCAAAAGCGGCAGCGATGTCAGCGGCATCAATGATAGCAATATTAGATCCGGCGAGAGCACTTGGTGCGCTTGGGGCACAGAATCGACTACGACGAGTGATTGAAGGGTCTCTAGGCGACGAGAA